TCCTTCCTTCCTTCCCTCCCTCCCTCCTTCCTTCTTTCCCTCCTTCCCTCCTTCCTTCCTTCCTTCCTTCCTTCCTTCCTTCCTTCCTTCCTTCCGTGAGCACAGTGAGCACCTTGGCTCATGGGACAGCCCATGAAGCCCTCCCCATCTGGGAGTCTTGACTTAATCACAGCAGCATCCCTTTTGTCATGTAAAGTGACACATTCACTGGTACCCAGGGTTAGGACAAGGACATCTTGGTGGGAGGCAGTACTGCAGAAGTTCTGACCCTTGGGTCTTGGGTCAAAATTCTGGACTGGCCCTGGGATCCCTGGTACCTTAGTTGAGGGACTGGAGAGAGGCGGGGAGGTCCCAGGAGGTGGGCGTCTAGCACCGAGGGAGGCACTGGTGGAGAGTCTTGGTGGAGACGGTCGTCTGCGTGGGCAGATGAGGAAGGCGTGCACAGACATGGGGCCGTGCGGCGATCCCAAGTCTATATGGATTAGTGAGTTCTCCCAGAACCCCTACAGAGTGTGATGTTTATGAGAAGAACTTCCTGATCATGTTGGAAAAGTTTTCATCTATTGTAACACCAAACCTGTATATTCTAGATATTCTAGAATAAAAAAAATCCATAGTCAACCCCCAGAACCAATGAAGTACAAACTCTCATTTATCTTGGTTACATAACATTCTAGAATAAAGTATGGCTGCAAGTAAGTGTGTAACAACCTAGATGACCAATAGGTGGATAAATAACATCTATACCCAGGGTTAGTTTTAAGACCGACCTGATTGTGGAACAAGGCTTTCTTAGGCTAGAATATTATATTCAACTTTCTCAAATGGGTAGAGTCACAGGGACAAGAAAGGCAGAGGAGAGGGGATGGCGAACCTTTTCTGGAGGGGCAGCCTGTGCTGGCCTCCCCCTGGTCACAGACACAGTTAGGATTGTGTGCTCACACCCACAGGGGACAACATCTAACAGAAGTGGCAGACACTGCCCTCCAAGAAAGCACCATTTCTCAGCACTGCCAATGTCGCTGTTTAAACTGTTGTTTGACTTGGATAAGACCGAGTATCAGCATCTGTCACTCAATTAACTGATGCATCATAGAGAAGAGAGAGACAATAGAAGAATTTGTGGGTGCCTTTTTTGTACCTTTCTATTTTATTTATTTATTTTTATGTGGTGCTGAGGATCACACCCAGGGCCTCACACATGCCAGGCGAGCGCTCTACCACTGAGCCACAACCCCGGCCCTGTGGGTGCTTATTTTAATGGTATAATGATATCTTGATCAGGGGGAATACATTTTCTATAGAATATTAGAATCACTCATGGTATTTATAAATCAGATTGCTAAATAAAATGTCAGAAGCCAACATTACTGTTGCTTAATGAAGAATTGGGAGCCAATTCTATTTTTAGCCCTTCAAACCTGATAAAAACCTAAAATATTCCGGCAAGTTAGGAAAACACCCCCTTTATTTAAAATTTCCTAAAAGGTAGTCTTCCCTCCTCCCCTTATGATGGAATACAGGGTGATTTCAGTCAAAGACATAGTCTACCTAAAAAAAAGTCCTGCCAGTAGGTACTCACTCCACTTTACTCATTATTGAAGTACCCTTATGACTGTTAGAGGGGACAGGTCAGATGCCAGGGGTGCAGAGGAAAAGAGATCAAAGTGTTTTTGTTTACCTCTTTGAAGTATCACAGTACCTGCCATTTAGCACACACTCTCTTGGTTCAAGCTGAAAATTGGAATTCACCCATTTCTGTCTCTTTCCTGTGTAAGGTGCAGACGGGGCACATTTCGTTCACTCCAGCGATCCCTGCCCCCACGCACTATTACATGCACACGTATACCTAGCCAGTGGAAAAGAAAATCGAGTTACTCACATTCATCCATTCTAGAGAGATTTCCAGGCTCACTGGGAGGGCCTGGCCTCTCCCTGAGGGGGAATAAAAGGGCTCCCTGACAGCCCGTCCCCAGTCACACTCAAGTGACCAGAAGGCTCCTGCCCTCCTGTTGCACTGAGGGGACCCCACCCTGGCCACATGGAGAGGATGCGTCTCTGTCTGATGGTCATCCTTCTGGGGACAGTGGCCCATAACTCAAGCTCCCAAGGGCAAGATCGTCGCCTCATGATTAGAATGCGTCACCTTATACACACAGTTGACCAGCTGAAAAAATATGTGAATAACTTGGTAAGAGCCCACGCACCCCGCAGCGTTGAATGGCACTTTGTAGGTAGTGTACAAGCAGGCTTTCAACTTACAAGTGTAAATTGGAATTGATTTCTTTTTCTCTCTAGGAGCCTGAACTTCTGCCAGCTCCGCAAGATGTGAAGGTAAGACCTGTTGAATTTATTTCTGAAAATATATGTGATATGTTTTTAATCCAATAAGAAAGGCATTATAATGGTTATTTGGGAATACACTTAATTTCAATGTATCTGGGCTTTTAATAATTGGTAAAATACTTATTTCTATTTTGTTCAAATAGTCATGATTTACCAACAAACTGCTACATTATGTTTCTTATAAAACAAATGTCTATATTCAAGTATCTCTAAGAGTACTCTTAAGTAGTTTTGTAAGACAGAATGATAAAACTGGAAAAGAAAGCTTCTGTACAAGGAACAGGTAGCTACATTTCATGGAGATTCTTCAGTCTTCTCTGTAATCTCATTTAGGGAACACAGACACAATTCTTCCCAGAAGGAGAGGAATTCCCCTTTAAATAATAAACTAGAAATAAATAAGTAAAAAGATAGCAAGAATTAGATTACAGGGACCGTGTGAGGGACAGCGCTGCGGAAGCCCCAGCCCTCCCTTGAAGTATAATTCACACGTACCTTGGCCCTCGGTGGGGTCTTTTGAAAGGACCATTTTCAAAAACTTAGTCCATCTCTTCAGCCCTTCAAATCCGAGTCCCAGGGAGAAGCGGCCAGGCAGCTCGTTCAAGAGCGGTGTCTACTGGTCTGTTCCCGGTAACCTCTTCAGTGTGGTCTGCTGGCTTCTGACATTCATTGTCACCAACCTTTAATTGCATAAATTAGGATAACTGTGAAAGTGCTACCAGTAATTAGGACACTACAAAGGGGCAGATTTACTAAGAGGCATTGCAAAGAAAACAGTTATCGTAAATGACTGTGTAAAACTTTAGAAAGTGAATGAGTCACAACTATTGCTTTTCTCTAAAATTCACTCTCCAGCTCGGAACCTAGCTACTCTCATATTTACTAGGTCATTTTTTACTAAGTAGCATCTAAAATGAAAGTAGCATAATTAGGAATACTTCTTAATTCAAGTGTCTAAGTATCAATACATGCGTTTTTCAGCATCTTGTGCGCCTTGTTTGACTAGAATTCCTGTTCTTCCCAGAGTTTCCTAGCTGCACTCTTCAACTTGCAAAATAGGAAAATAGCCCATTTTCTAACTTAAACTCATCCAATGGGTAATTCCTTTATATGTTGTGTTAATGAATGATTTCTAAAGTTTAAATTTTTCATAGCCACTTTCATTTTTTATCTTTCCATTATGATTATTAGTGCATATCCATTGTACACATTAGTGGATCAAGGTGATGTTTCCACACATGCACACGCGCCCACACCTCCTAGTCCCGCACCTTCCATTCCCTCCTTGTCCCTGCTCCACTGAAAGACATTTTTATCTTACATCTAAAAGAGCGGGTTTTGTCTCAGCAATACCAGAGCTGTCTGATAATCTGATCAAGCTCTGCTTTCTATGATACAGGGGAGTCGTGTGCACCTGAGATCTTTAAGTTCACTGGCTGAAAAGTTCAGGAAGGAAGAAGAGAGTTGAGGCCAAGTTTTTCAGGGCCAGCCCCAAAGCAGGGCCTGTAACAGAATTTAGAAATTTACTGAAAATAGGGCCGTAAAAGTGCATTTATGTAATAGTGCTCAGCAAGGATTTCTAACTGGCCCCTCCAGGTTTCTCTCCCCCCTCTCTCTCCTTCTTCCTTCAGTCGAATGACCAGGGGTCCTCCAGTAGTGGTGATTTTGCCCCCAAGGGACCTTTGACATTGTCCAGAGAAATTTGGGGTTGGCAGGACTGGGGCTGGCAGGGAGGGTGCCGCCGCCTCTGGTAGTTAGAGGACAGGACGCTGCTCAGTGGAGTGCATTGGACAGCTCTGACAGCCAAAAGTGGTCCAGGATGTCTGTGGTGCTGCTGTTGCAAACCCTGATACAAGCTCAGTTTGTGGGGGGGACAGAGGTGATCTTCCCAGGGAGCGAGGCTGCCTGCCACAAATGAGCATGGCTTTCTTTGCAAAAGAAGAAGAAGAAAAACAAAAAAACTAATAAGTCTAAAAGTAGGCTCTGAGGAGGCAAATACTTCCAAATATTCAATTGTGAAACAAAGTGAGCTTTTTTCAAAAGCAGCTCCTGACTGCTTCCCGGCCTGAGAGGGGTGGGTTCTACTCCTGCTTCTGACTCCCTTCATTCCCTCTAGTCTGCAATACCAAGGTGGGACCAGGGAGCTCCTCATGCTTTCCAGTATTGATGGCCCAGGGAACAAAACCTTCCCCAGGACTTTGCTGTCACCCAGACCCAGCGAAGGAGAGCAGCAGGGATGCCCCAAGAGGTGCTGTACAGGGACTTGGGCTGGCCCAGGACTCCTGAGGCCAGGGCACCGGAGGCTGCCTGGATCTAGGTCCATCTCCCTGCCCTGCACACCTCTGGGCAGGTGGCAGGGCAGGTTCTCATTTCTTTTCCTTCCTGAGGCTGCTCTGGCGTGCTCCTGAGGTGAGACCCAGCGGTTAGTTGTCTAGACCGCACTTTGCCAGGGACAGCTCTGCTGCTTGCAGGACAGGACAACAAAGCGAACACAGTATCTGTCCACACAGGTGGACAGGGAGGGCTGGGAGACGCAGCCCCATCAGCACCAGCCTTGGCACCCATGTACCATCTTCTTCTAATGACAGGGGCTCTCGGAAAGCCTTTCTTAGGGTTAAAAGTTTTGACCATTGGTCTTGATCATTCCTGGTGATATTGTCACAGGGGCACTGGTTCCGTAGGGCCCCTGTACTTCTTTGGAACCTAATTTGGTTTCAACATACAAATGAAAATGTTAACTCAGCAAAACAGGCCCCTGTGAGAAATGCTGGTTTCTCAGATCATCGCGGATGAAGCAGTTAGTGTTTTCAGTTTCAGCTGGAAAATTTATCTCTTTAAATATGAATATTATTTTTTTCCAGTAAGTTAAGCCGGTTGTGGTCAAAAAGAAGAGAAAAGAAAAAACTTCAACAAACATGAACATGTGGTTTTCAAGGAAAAAAAAGTGCTATAATTAACATTTATAAATAGTTTCTATTAAATAAGCATTTTGGCAAAATTGGAAAGGACACCACCTTGCCGGATGAAAGGCAACCGGGCCTGGTATAAGGAAACCAGATAAGCAGGTTCTCGGCTTGTGGCCACATATGCAAAGCGAAACTGGGGGTTTGTGACTTAGAGATGCGTGTTATTAATCAACATCCATGTGGGGTGTGCACATGGGCTGGAAAATGCAAAGCAGGCTCGGGCTGCTTCCAGCTGACTGCCCTGAGCTGATGCAGGGAATGTTGTCCTGCACTGCCCAC